CCCCCCCCCCCCCCCCCCCCTATCCTGACAATCCCAAAAAATTGACGACAATAATTGCCAAAGACGGACCACCTCGAAAGCCACGGCAACGGCAAAGAGGAAGAAGAGGAAGACGAGCGAACTCTCATGAACTTCAAGGCACACAAGGGCTGGGTTTCCGCGGTGCGTTTCCTGGAAGGCGGAGGGGCGGGGGCGGGGGTGGGGGGTTGCCGTTTGCTGACGTCGGCGAATGACTCTGTGGTAAACCTGTGGGACACCTCGAAGCAACACCGCGGCTCGCCCAGGTACAAAGACGAGGGGTGGTGTCTTGAGCGGGGGGAGACTTCTTGTTGGTGTCGTAGTAGATTTGGGCTGCCACATCTCTGCATCGTTCAACCCCTTTGCCATGGTCGTTCTGCCTGATGTAGTGCGGTACCGCGGGACATACGTGTGCATCGTCGACGTCTCCAACCCGATCCAAAGGTGTCTCCGCTGTCTTTACAGAGGGTCCCATCTATTGTGTCCGTCCCGCACAGCTTCTAGCAACAGACCTTTAGCATTGTTGTGGGCTGAGGCGATGAGCTACGATCCGGGAGTCACCCTCAAGCGTTCCTCTCCAATGCACGCCTCCCTTGATGTTTGTGGCGAGAAGGGTTGAAGAGTATTGTTTTTCTCGTCTGCAACCACTCTTCATCCTATTTTGTACCTAGACAGGGGTGGTAGAGCAAAGTATTCAGTGCCACCAATATTTTACGGCTATTGAAAGGTCTGCAGAGGGCGTCGACAATCGTTTGCAGATGAGCCCATCGTTCTTACTCCCCCGTACCTTCCATGAACGAACGATGGTTATTTATCTTGTGGGGGTTGTGGTGGTTGATCTACCGCAGCTGCTACTGTGTCCGGCACGTGTGCAACGCTGACAATCGTCTCTCCCCAGCATTCACATGCGGGGCCCTCAGACCTTTCGGAAAGGAACGGAGCGAACATGGACCTCACCATCCTCGTGCAGAACCACCAACGCACACGTTGAGAACGTTTGGCCTTGTTTGACCGTTTGCTTCTTCGAGAACCTGACAATACAATATGTTGTAGGATCGCGGGCACCATCAGCAGTCTCCACCTCTCCCCAAAAAGCATTTTCTCAATAAACTTACTTGAATGCGTAAAGATGCCTAGGTAAGTATCAACAGAGGATAAAACCAAAACAGGAATCTCAACAGGTTCTCGCGTGGTCCAACATGCAAACTCCCGCACCCAATACGAAATCCGCTGCTGCCGCGACTGCTTGCTGCGAAATTCCCAGGCTCTTAAGCACCATGGACGACCTCCACCCCACCCGCAAGGGCATCTTTGCCATGGACTCCCACGGCACGCGCGTGGCTACGGGTTCTAAAGACACCACGGTGGCCATCGCATCTCTCGGCCCTACGGGGATCGAGCACGACAGGTTTGTGTTTGTGCATCTTATGCATGTGTGATCACCTTTTGAAGTGCGCACGGAAATTACGTAAGCCATCCATTCTGAAGCCCAAGCAGGTGACGATGAGGCACCACACTGTCGTAGGCAGTACTGATGCGTGTTTCGAAACGCATCTAGCCAAAAGTGCGACGAACCGGAAACGGAAGCGACCGAGTTTCTCTCCCTCTCGTTGCAACGCCCAACCTAGCAACCTAGCTGCCGCAGCGCACGACATTCTACAGGAATCGTCGTTTTCGTTTGCGCACCTTGCTGGATTGGCCGGAGTTTCGCTGCGGTGCACAACGTAAACCTCAGTCATGGGCACATGACAGCTGTCGATTCCCCTACCGTTTGCAACGTGGGAACTCGTGCATTCTTTCCGCCAGTAACCTTTTTTTTGCGCTGCGTTGCCAACGCGGTGCTTTTTGGAACAGGGTGCTCGGAGACCCTGGCGGAAGCGAGGCGTTTCACGAGAAGGTCGTCAAGGGGGTCAGCTTGCGGGACGAGAACACGGTAGGAAAATATCATCGACTGTAGAAATTCGGGGGGGCGGGGGGCGGGGGAAGGGGCATGGTCATGTTGACGTTAACGAGGAGGTTGCGAGGGGGGGCACGGTTGCTGGTGAAATACAATAGGGCGGCACGGAAAGGAGGGCGGCTTTGGCAGCGTTTGGGCGGGGGCGGGGGGGCGTGCTCTAAAGTTTTGCCATGCCTTAACGGTTACACCATTGACCTATGTTCCCAAAGGACAGATCACCGATGGCCAATCCTTCCTTCCTACTTCGCCAAAGGTGGCTCAATATGTTTTCCCTAGCCCATCTATCCTATCGATATCACTTGCCCACCTTTTCAACGCACTTCCTATGCCCAAGGGCGCGGGAGGGGGGGGCGTACTCTTATGTTTTGCATGTCTTAGCGGTTAGACCATTGACCACGCGTCCTCGAGAGGACGGAGCATTGTTCCCACAGGACCGATCACCGATGGCCAATCGTTCCTTCCTACTTTGCCAAAGGTGGCTCAAAAATGTCTTCCCTAGTCTGTCTATCCTAAC